ATTCCGGGCCTGATTTATTTAGTGTCATTTGACTGGCATCCGAGATCTCTGGAGCACCATAAGCCGGTGGCCATTATTTGGGCAGGTCCTGGACTGGATGGTGCTGTGGCGGGCATCCCTGAGACCCCTGCCCATGGCCTGACGGCCCGGCCCGTAGTGTTGCTCACTTGTGTGTGGGAAGCAGATATGGCGGCTGAGTTCTGCCGCTGTATCCACTGTTCTCTGTGGGCCTTGGCCAGAGACAGGCTGAGATGGCGGAGGAGGAGGCTCAGCACCTTCTTCATCTGGTAAAATCACTGCTTTGTTTAGAAATCTCGCCTACTTGCTTCTCATGGTTCTGTAAGTTAGGTCCCCAGGATGTTAGGGAGTTAGGATAGCTCTGAGGCCCCACAGTTGTGCTCTGCCAAGGGCGGAGGATGGGGTTAGATGCCCACCTCCTGTCCTCTCCACTGTCAAGTGGCTGGCGACTCCTGCCCCTAGGACTCCCATAGCAGGGCATGGGCTGGTCATACCTGCATAGCTTCTGCGGGGGAAGAGAGGGAGAAGCCCATGTGCATTCTCTCTCAGCAGCCTGCAATGTCCCCCTTGTGGGGGCAGAGAGTACAGAGAGGCGAGGCAGCTCTTACGTTGGCCCAGCCCGAGGGGGGTGGAGCTGGTGTGAGAATTCGACCTGGATGCCTCGTTCCTCTCTGACCAGCACTTGCTTTTCTCTCTTAAAATATCGCATGTCAGTGTGAAGTATGTGACAGGCCTTTCTCCAACTACGAAAGTGACATCTTTTCTGAAACAGTCACCCAATGTGTGTTCTGCCGGATGGATGCCAAAGACTCGTCAACAGAGGCCTCATCATTATCAGGAGGGGAAGACTCACTGTCACAGGAGGGCAGCCTGGGCACAGATGACTGATGGCCACTGGGCTTGCTGACTGACTTGAGCATGTCACCCGTGACGCAGGTTTTTCTCTAGGGCCGGACCCTGGCCGGGAGGGCATGTCAGACTGGGGCAAGGGCACGGCCTCAGCTCCACAGCACCCTTGGGGATCAAACACTGTTTTTAGTTTTCATGCAGAATAAATCTAGATTCCTTTAGAAAACAAGCGGGCATGTGAATTCTAGAAGCATTTTGGCTACTTCTAAGCTTTCTGTCTTGGTGTTCATTCTGTCTCCTTTTAGGATCACATTCTGGACTCTGCTGTTGCCCTGTGGGGGCAGCCAGGCCAGCACACGCAGCTCCTGAGCAAAGCTTTGTCAAATGAATAGGAAGATGTGTGGGGACCCCTCTGCGGAGGAGGCTGTTGTGTGGCAAGGCCCTGTGGGTGCCTTCCTGGCTAATGCTCCCAGATGGCCATCAACCCAGGGCAGAGGAAGGTCTGGTTAGGCAGGTGGGTGGAAGGCATTGCCATCACAGAATGTTTCATGCTCTCCACCCCAGACTTTTCCATTTCCAGAATGCCCAGGCAGATGTACAGCCCTCTTCCTGCTTCCACAGTGCACCACACACTCCATCAATCAGTTACTTCAGAAGGCACAAAGGTTTCAGTTCACAGACAGTAAGGGCTCCCTTTCCCATCTGGTATGGCTCTCGTGATTTCTGTCAATCATGAGTATGCCCCTTGGTTTCTTTTAAAAAACTTAATTCCGGGCCTGATTTATTTAGTGTCATTTGACTGGCATCCGAGATCTCTGGAGCACCATAAGCCGGTGGCCATTATTTGGGCAGGTCCTGGACTCGGTGCTGCCCTCCTCAGTCACAACCCCAGTGACTGGTCCGACTGGAGCTGGCTGTTCAGGATGTCTTCATTTATTCACATCAGTGATGTACGAACATGCCAGAGCTCTGCTCTGTGCCCTCCCAGCAACTGGGCTGTCTTTCAAAGAGAAGTCCTATCGCTAAGCAGTCCCCCCCCCCGCGCCCTGATGTGGGGCACGGCCGGGCCGCAGGTGCCAACAGGGCCTCACTGATGGGCACGTAGGTTGTTTCTCGGGTTTTGCTATTACAGGTAATACCGGAGTGTCTCTTCCTGTGCCTACGTACTTGCAGGGACTTACATTTCTGTGGATGAGGCTCTCCCACCGGAGGCCCCGCTGGGCGAACGGGGTGAGCAGTGTTTGGTTTTGTTGTTGCTCGCAGGCCCCTCTAACAAGTGTCGGGACGAGGAGGCTGCGGTGTCCGGGAGAGGAGACCCAGGAGCAGCAGGCGGGAAGCCTGGGTGGGGAGGGCCCCGCTTGCTCCCGCAGCACAAACCTCCCCACGTGCGGCGTGGGGACCCCCTCGAAGCTCCCGATCCCTCAGGGCCAACTCAGGCGCCCGCGGTGCCCCCGGCCTCGCCCCCGGCTCAGGGCCGGCGGGAGAAGCGGCACGGCGGAAGGTCCGGTCTCGCCGGGCGGCCGGAGGCGCCCCCAGGGCGGGCAGGGCCGCCGACCCCCGAGCGCGGCCCCAGAGCGCCACCGCCTCCCGGGCTGAAGGCGCCGCTGCGATGACTGCGCTGCGTGCTCACCGCGGAGCCGCGGCGGGGTGTGCCGCCCGACCGGACACCGGGGCTCGGCCTCGCCGGACGGCCTGGGGGGCTTCCTGCGCCAGGTCTGGAGGGCAGAAGGCCCGACTTCGCGCGGGCATCCCCCACACACAGGGCCGCCGCGGCTCCGCGCCTGGGAGCAGACACCACAGAGACCGGGAAGACCAGCCCGCCGGGGCCTCGCGCACCACTCGCTCCCGGAGCTTCCGCCGTTCGCGTCCGACCTCTTGGCTTCAGCCCGGGGTATGAGGCGAATCGCGCACCACGCATGCGCCTGCTGCCGACGAAACTCGCGCGCATGCGCACGGCCGATGGACTAAATGGTGATGAGGCGTAGATTCTCGCCTTACCCGTGCGGGCGGCGCCGTGGCTTAGTTGGTTAAAGCGCCTGTCTAGTAAACAGGAGATCCTGGGTTCGAATCCCAGCGGTGCCTCAACCGAGCGTCCCGGCTCTCTTTTTAGCGGGGCACGCACATTTTTGCTCCCCTGCCCCACCCCGCCCCTTCTCACTTTGGGTGGGTGAAGGTGAGTCTGAGAAGCCAGGTTCGCCCGCCTTCTGCGGCGGCGGGTTCCTTCCCCCGGGTCTCGGTGGGCGGTGGCGTCCGCGGCCGGGACGAGCGAGGACCAGCGTTCCCTGCTGCTGCGTGGGGCAGGGAGAGCGCGGGCCTCCTCCGCCCATTCCTCCTCCGAGCTCCATCTCCGGCCGTGCGGTCGGTATCACCCATTTTACAGACGCGCCTGGCGAGGTCCAAGTTGAACCCGGCCATCGTGCCCCTGGGGCTTCGGGAAGGATGAAAACTCCGGGGAGGAGACGGTCACTGGGACCCTTGTGCGAGTCAGAGCCGGTATCCCCAGGGGGCCAGGTGGGAAGCACACCCCTGAGGCCCGGGGCTCTGGCTGCTGCACAAATAGAGGGCTGGGGGGCCTGGCCCAGAGCAATTGCACCGGAGTCCCTGGGGGTGCAGCGATGCGTTGGAATTTTGAACAGTTACCCAGGAACACTCGGGTCAGGCTCCACAAAATTCATGTCAGAAGCAACAGGACAGTCCCAAGGAGCTGTAGAGATGGCAGTTACAGCATCAGGCTGTGTTCCGAAGAGTCAAATTCACCTCCTCCAGAAGCAGCATCTCTCTCTACCTCTCCCATGCGTCTGGGTTTATTGTCTGTTTCTTCTCTTGTTTTGGGGGTCAGTTGCAGTTCCGATGGGCGCATTCTCCCGGTTCCAATCAGAGGTGAGTTTAGTGGTAATAGGGCTTGAGTTGTTGGGTTGGGGGGTGGTTGTTTTTCTTGGTGCATCTTTACTGCTACCCTGAGGTATACCGGCTCTGTTTTGAGCACTGGCCTATTTGGGGGCGAAGGGGAGATGTTGGTTGGGGGTGTAAGCCTGGCTGTTAGGGAGGGTCAGCGGAAGAAAAGCATTTGTGGCCATCAGCCATGCATGCAGCAGATGACTTTGAAGCCATCGGATTGGGTGAGCACCCCTAGGCAGTGAGCAAAGGCAGAAAAGAGAAATAGGACCAACGTTAAGTTTACCCCTCCCATTCTTTAAAAATGCCATGCTATTTCTGTCCCAGGGCCTTTGTACTTTCTGTGTCTTGTGCTTGCAATGCTGTTTCCTGGGCCCTTCCTCATTTTCTGGCCTCCATTAAGGGTATCACCTCCTTGGGAAGCCTCCCCTCACCATTCTCTGTACAGGAGTCCTTGCCTGCCCCAGGCCAGCCTGCAGTACATTATACTGATTATTTCCTTTAATAGCCTTTTCATAGTCTAAACTTGTCTTATTTGTCTATTGCCTGTCTCCTCAAATAAAATTAAGCCCTAAGGCCTAGGGAGCCACATATGCCTATATTTACCTCTGTGCCCCCAGCACCTAATGGTGCTTGAAACGTGGTAGGCATTTGTGGACACGTGACTTTTAAAATTTGATATTATCTTGATTGGATTATGTAATCTGAGGTTTTTGGACCACTAGTCCATCTTTTCAAATAATGTAAGGCAGCACTTCTCAAAATGTCCCTAAGAGTCCCTAAGACCCTTTCAGGTCGTCAAATCGATTTTCATAGTGATACTCAGATGTTATGTTGCTTTTTCACTGTGTTGACATTTGCACTGATGTGCAGAAGCAATGGTGAGTAAAATTGCCGGCACCTTAGCAGGAATCAAGGTGGTGGCGCTAAAGGGCCCCACTTGTCACTGTGTTCATTCATCACCACCACTTTTGCAGGAAAAAGAAAAAGCCAGTTTCACTTAAGAATGTCTTTTATGAAGCAGTAAACATTATTAATTTTATTAAATCTAGATACTTGAGCACACAACTTTTTAATCCTTTGTGTGAGGAAAGGGGAAGTAGGCAGAAAGCACATGTACGGGAGTACTGAGGTACTGTGGTTGTTTCGAGAAACAGTACTTGAGACTGAGTTCTAAGCGGACATGGCCACATTTTTTATAAAACACCATTTTTGCTTGAGGGAATAACCGGCTATTTAACAGACATTTTCTGGAAAATGAATAAAATGAGCCCGTCACTCAAGAAAAACAACTGACAGTATTTGTTGCCAAATGATAAAATAACGATTTTCCAGGCAAGAACTGTAATTTTGGAGAAAGTATCTACCGCCGTGAGCTTGACCACTTTCTAATATTTAAAAACTTTCTGATGAGATTGGTGGTTATATTAATGAATATATTTTTTCCATATTGTATAACAAAATACATCAACATTTGGAAAATAGGCATGATTTGGTGAACCAGTATTTTCCAAATGACCAATGTATGATCCATCAAAAGCAAAGTATATTTTAATGTCACAGAGTATGAAATGTTCATCAGTATGGTTTCAGATTCCACACCACCATTTATTCAGTTTTGGTGTATTATGAAAGAAGAATATCCACAATTTTTGGCAAAGTCCACTGAAGTCTCCTTTTCCAACTACATGTCTGAAGACAGATTTCCTTGTTCTACTTCAATCAAAATAACATATCCCAAGAGACTGACCAGCTATGAAACTCAACATAAATGAGATTTGCAAAACTGTAAAACAATGTTAGCTTCTCACTAAATTTTGTTTTATTTAGGTTAACATGGAATAGGTTTATTTATTATTGTTGTTTTAAGATCAATTACATAAATGAAATATTTGTATATTTTTCTCAGTTTTCATTTTTTTTTTTTTAAAGATTTTATTTATTTATTTGACCGAGACACAGCGAGAGAGGGGAACACAAGCAGGGGGAGTGGGAGAGGGAGAAGCAGGCCTCCTGCTGAGCAGGGAGCCTGATGTGGGGCTCGATCCCAGGACCCTGGGATCATGACCTGAGCCGAAGGCAGATGCTTAACAACTGAGCCACCCAAGCGCCCCTCAGTTTTCATTTCTAATATCTCAAATATT